CAAATACAGATGTATGTGTGTGTGTGTGTGTGTGTGTGTGTGTGTGTGTGTGTGTGTGTATTGCAGGTTCTGATGTAGCATATATATGTATATATATTTTACAGGTTCTCATGTAAAATATACTGCTTTTTTGGGGGGAGGTATGGGACACTTTACCACTGAGCTACATCACTCAGCCCTTTTTATTCTTTATTTTGAAACAGGGTCTCACAGCCTCACTAAGTTGCCTATCCTCAGGCCTCAGCCTCACAAGTTGCTGGGATTACAAGCGTATGCTACTGTGTGTGGTGCAGAATATTTCTTATTGTGCCTTACCAACGAGAGAGTTCAGAACTCTCGAGCTCCAGATTTAATACTGCTCTGGATGTTTGATTCCTTGAACTTCTCTGCCGTGAGGACCTTCTTTCTCCACTTTAGTGACCACTTCTACAACCGCATCTTGCATCTGGTTACTACCCAGAATGGGTTCATCTCCAATATCTGGAATTTCCATCAAATTACCAGTACTCTTCCTATTCTATATCTTCTTAATAAAGAAACTTTTTATTTTTAAAACTTCTTTCTTCCTTTTTTGGGGGGTCTCAGGTATTGAACTCAGGGGCACTCAGCCACTGAGCCACATCCCGAGCCCTATTTTGTATTTTATTTAGGGACAGGGTCTCACTGAGTTGCTTAGCACCTCACTTTTGCTGAGACTGGCTTTGAACTTGTGATGCTCCTGTCTCAGCCTCCTGTGCTGCTGGGTTACAGGTATGGGTCACTGTGCCCAGTTAAACCTTATTTCTTGAATCCAAACTTCTGACTCTTCACCATTCCTACTAGAATTGACTCAGCTCAATTTTAACTTTTTAGGTGATGTCTTGTTGCCCTCCATGATTACCCTCTTCAGAACCCAAACTGACCATGGCATTCTTAAACCTAAAAGTGTGATCTAGTTCCCCTTTGTCCAAATGCATGAGGCCCTTCTTTGCTGTACCCCATCCACTCACCCAGACTTTGTTTAGAATGAATGCCTCCAACTCAACTTCTCACTTCCTTATTTCTCTCAGGCTTCCAAATATAGACATATCACAGCTTCTTGTCCTGATTTTGACCCTGCTCTGGGGATCTACCCCATCCACAGCCCCTGATGAGGCAGCACCCCTGTGTGCAGCTGACATCCCTACCATGGCCAATTAGCCATGGGAAAGCCTTTAATTCAGTGGTAGAGCACAGGGATGGGCCAGCATGTTGGGAACAGTGTGACCAGCTCCTCCTAGGAAGTCAAGGGACTCTTCCCAGGAAGCGGTGGGAACTACACATGAGAGGTCCTGAAAGTAGAAAGAAACCAGACAACAGAAAGAACCAGCAGGAGCCACCATGCAGCCCTGAGAGAGCAACAGGAGGTAGCTGCTTCATTCCAGTGGCCAATTCCCAGGTTCCAGGAGGCCTGGGTACATAGGAGAACCTATTCCTGGGTCTTCTTGAGATCCTGGGACCCTTACAACCCCAGTGACTTTCAGTGGACTTTCCCCCTTGCACCTAAAAGAGCTCAGATGGGATCTTTCGGCTCACTGAACTTCATTGTTGCTAATACATGATTCTTTTTTTCACATAAAATATGCTTTACCAGGAATGCTCTCTCTCACTTCTTCCCATATGGCAACTATCTACTTAGCCTTTAGGAAAACAAATGCCCCTTTGTGAGTGTCCAGCTTCCAGGCCAAGCCCTCCTCTGCATCCCTTCTGGGCTTTGCTTATTGCTGTTATAACACCTACGGCTCTGTTTTGTAACTGTTTGTGTTTCTGCTTCTGTCTCGGGACTCTCAGCTTCTTGGGGGACAGTGTCATATCCTACACATGATTTGATCTCCCCAACATGGGGGAGCTCAGCAGGTTCTGTTGGTTCAGGACTCACACCCCTACCCTGGAGCTCACTCTCCTACTGGCAGTTCCATGTGCCCCAGGCTCACTTTGTGACTTTGTCTGAGAGTGTTACAGGAAGGCCAGAAACACGGGGGCTTAGGTGCCAGGAGTGACCCTCATTCAATGAGAGGGGGAGTTCGGGAGCAAACACCCCAGCTTCTGGCCCCCCAGGAGGTCACGGGGATCCACACAGGGCTTCAGAGGGTCTTTTATGAAATTGAGCCCCAGTTGCCTATAGAGGCTTCCCTTTCCTGCCTCCCTTCCTCACTCCTTACTGTATTTTCTAGACTCACCCCCCAAATAAACTACCTGCATTCCAATGAGTAATGAAGCCAAACCAAGGCAGTGCTTGACAGATAACGAGGGAACAGTCAAGGCCTCTGGCGGCTCCTCTCTCCTCCCACTGGCAGAGATGTCAAGAATTGCCATCCCTACCATTTCACTTTCTCTCTTTACGTAGCACCACATGCCCAAGCACACCAACCTCACGCTCATCCACATCCTTACTCCCCTTCCTCACTGGTTGTCCAGAAGAGCCTACCCTGCCTGACCCTAGGCCTGATAGAGCCTGGGGCTCCTCACACTCCTGCCACCAGCAAGCTGAGCATTGCTGGAGGAAACTGTCCTACTGTCTTGGTTGGGGTCAGTTCACATTTATGATATTCAACCCCCAACATGGCTTCAAAGCATTTTTCTTGTGTTCAGGTAATTTCCTGTAGCAATGACTATGCCCACGTTTCACTAGGATGCTTAGACCCTTCTTCATTCTGCTTATCAAGTTTTGGCATTTGTTAGAAGAATGGACCGGATTCTGGGTAAAGAGAAACAAACACAATATGGCCTCTTGGTATAGCCAACTAGAGGTAGGAGACAGGTTCCAGAACTACCAAGTACAATGCTGTACGTGTATTCAAAACAGTGAATAATTGGTACAGGGCTGTCAACTTATCAAAATGGTCTGGACTGGTCAGAGGAAGGAGAAGCCTCAGTGACAGTGCAACAAAAGGACAACACTTGGGTAAACATTATTATTAGTTCTGTTTTTACAAAAGAGGAAACTAAGGCATAGAGAACCTAAGTAACTTACTCAAAGTCACACAGCTGGTAAATGGCACAGTGGGGTTGAATTCAGAGTCTGACTCTGAAATGCATGAACTTAACTATTATTTGACATTCTAACTATTGATTTTTGAATACAAAATTATTGATAAATGATTGAAAAGTCAGCACAATGAAATCTTATCATGTCTCCCAAGGCTGGTATACTTATAATACATACCTGATCAATCAACAAATATATATTAAATAATTCAGATGAAAAATACTATATGTATAATCTGATGTGAGTTAGTATATATCCATTATTAGAGGGTATGAAACAAAAATGAGTGAATTTTTTCTCCCAGTTGCTCCTAGATGTTAATCATGGCTAAAGGTGAATTGGTGTGGTATAGTGAACACAATGGTAAACTGAGGCACCCCAAACATGTCTAACTACATGGTAGCCGTACCCTCAGCTTCTGCATCTAAAGAATGTACAGTTGGAGTGGACAATGTTTCACTTCCTTCCCAACACTAAGACTTTACTTTTCTCTCTTTATATAGATAAAATCGTGATTTTTAAACCTGTCTAGATTACACTTGAAATCCCACTGATGCAGGTGACTGGAGTCTGGGAGGTCAGTCTGGGTGACGATTACTACATACTCTTTGCTCTTTGGGACACTAGTAGTAGCATTTTCATATCTGAAGAATCTCTATGCTGACTACATGGAGCTCCTTTAGATTTGCAAACTGCACTTTCAAGGTATTGAAGGTAGCAGAGAGTACTGATTTCAGAGTGCCCTTGACTATTAAAGAGAAACACTCTGTAACTATCTCAGGCCAGGAATTGGGTCTGCCACATATAGAAAGGATTAGCCCATCGTGCTAACTCTGGCTCAGAGGATCACCAGCACCTGCTCTCTGTGTGGCCCAGTTCCAATTTCTGTCATGTGAGCTCTGTCTTACCACAGAGTGCTCAGGCAAATCCCACATGTCAAAATAAAAAGAGAAAATCACTGCATGGCAGACTCTTCATGGGGATGGACTACATCTATGGGGTCTTAAATGCATGCACAGGAGCAGTGTTTACTGAACTAAGAAGGTAAGAGTATTTCTAAACTTTGGCCACTTTTGAATGAGTGGTGTTGTTCAACCTGTCTTGATATTTTAGTACATGAAAGAATATCTCAAAAAATATAAACAAAATATATTGACAAAGTAAAAAGAAAAATGCAGACATTGATCACACCTTGTTTTACACAAAGGCAGAGAAGATGAGGCTCAGATTTTTGCTCTAGAATGTGGTTTTCTCCACCTTAGAGACTGCCCATTCCTGAATCAGGGTCCCTGCAGGTCAGAAACCTCTCTTCAGGTCTCCTTACACGTTCCTTATTTAGTCTTACCGGTAGTACATGCTCAATAAATGTTTACTGAATTGATCCGTGTGTGCATGTGAATGTTTTGGGGTAACTTACTCTTCAGTGGTTCATGGATATCACAGACCCTATTATTCTACTGAGAGAAACTAAGAAGCGAAGAATAAATTTGTGCTAGCTCGTATAATTCATCTGGAACACAGATCTCCTCTCCCCTACCTGGTCTGAGAAGAGTTAGTAAAGATGAAGTGCCCCCCCCTCGCCCATCTATCAAAGGGCAGAACTGAAATGCCTGTTTGGGGCCACTCAGGCTAGGAGGCTAGGAGGCGAGCTTGCTTTGGGAGGGGACAAAATAAGTTTATGTTTTGAAACTTTTCCTACCTCCAATCTCAGCCTGCTCTGAACTCCTGAGACCCCTTCAGAGCTGAGTCAAAGGATTCCAGGCTCCGCCCCTCGCCGCACTCCGGGTGGATAACCTGGAGGATGCGCGGCCCTGGGAGCCAGGTGCACCCCCGGCTGTGTCGGCAAGGGGACTGCCCGGATGTCAGGGCATTGGAACCGCAGCCACGCAGCCACCACACAAACCGACTGCCCCCGCCCATCTCCAGCATTGTCCCTTTTTCTTCTCCCTCGACCATGCCCCGCTCCTGCTTCCCTGGCCCTGGGGACACTCACCCTGCCACTCGAGGACCCGCTCCCGGGGGAGCGCCGCCGCCAAGCCCTGGGCGCAGGCCCGCGGCGCCCTCAGCAGCGGCAGCAGTAGCAAGGATAGCAGCAGTGGCAGCTGCGACAGCATCGCTAACCACTGGACTCACTGAGTGCTGTTCGTGGCTCCTACTGGGGCCGGAGCTCCCCGGCTGCACCCCGCCTGCGGCGTGGGAGGCGGGACCGCAGCCTCCTCCGCGCTCCACTCTTCTGCGGGCCTCGCCACCCCTGCCCCTCGGGGAGACCCACTCTACCACCCGTTGTCGCCGCGGTGTGCAGGCACTTAGGGCTCTGGGCTGCGAGACGGGAGGAAAGTCGTGGGGTTTTCCCCGCCCTACCCACTCGGGCTTGGGGAAGGAGGAGGAAGAGGGAGTGGACCATCTGCCCATCCCAGAAATTCCTGCCTTTGGGGTGGGGAGAGAGGAGGGGTGAGGCTGCTGGGTGCAAGCGCTCCTCGGGTTCCTAGCAGCATTCTGGTTTTGCCGGGAGGCCCAAAAGGACGTGAGAGTGAGAGAACTGAGAATCTCTGGGAACAGGAAGTCTGACATGTGGGCTTGCAAAGCCTAGGGTTCGGGTAAACACTGAGGGTTTGGCAGCCTCAGTGCTGAGCTGAAACCGAGCTGCTCCAAGCTGCTCCCGGAACGCAGGCGCTTTGGGAGGCTCTGAATGTGGAGCACTGGAGACCCCTGGGGGCCCGTGCTGGTCTCTATCCTTCACGCTTCAGAGTGAAGGATAGAGACGAGAGTATTTCATTTGTTGACCTTCTTTCAGTTTTAAAAGAGTCTCTACTTCCATCTCCTTTGATCCCCCATATTATCCAGAAAAATATGTCACCCTATAACTCAGAAACCTTGCCCAGAAAGGTTAAGTGATTTGCTATGATTTATTCCCCAAACCAACAAAAGTTACTCCCTAAACTACTAGTGAGTAGGATGACCCCGACTATAATCCAAACTGCAACCTTTCAGAGAACCAGAACACTGGAAGTACTTAATACTCGTGGGAACAGACTAAATAACATCCACCAAACAGGACCTTGACAGTAATCATTAAAATATAAGAGAAGGGAAGAAAGCAAAAGGCGACTTTAAAAAAAAAAAAATGATGGTGGGATCTCAGAGGACCTGTCTCAGCTGATGACCAGCCAATACTAAACCAATGTTTAGGATGTGGTTTAGTAAATGTGCCATGAAAAGGTCAGCCCTAGAGAAAATGCCTAGCAGGGAGCAAGATTGAAGGTCACAGTGAAATAGGGAAGATCTTGGCTCATTCCTATAGGAACCTCAGAGACCCTCAGAGCTGAGGACAAAAGGGATAACATTTACCCATAGACTCATGATTCCTGTTGGTTAAGGAGGTGCTAGCATTGTTTTCCCCAGCATATTTTTGCAGCATTGTGTGACTTGAGAAGCACTGGGACTGGAGGCATTAGGTACATGGCATGGCAAAAGGAGAGGCCCAGTTAGGTTACATCCAGGTAGTTCGAGGGGTGAGGGGACTGGGACCACTGGAGAAAGCCTCATATACAGAAAGTTAGAGTCAGAGGTGGGTTAAAAGAGAATTCCAATGTGTGTGCTCAGTCTTTAGCACGTAATTATATGTAGAAATCAGCCACCCTGCCTGAAGACATGCAGAAAAGGAATGTTTTTAGCATACCAGACCATATAGATGTCAATCACAAGCTATGTCCATCTCCCCTACGGCCTCATGACTACATTGCTATGGGAACATTCCCAAAGTGGGAGATTCAGCCCTGCTTGAACTGGCTAGCATCTATCACAGTGGATGGCATAATGAGGTAACAGAGTGTGACATTGATATCAATCTCTGATGAGGGGCAAGACAATGAGAATAAAGGAGAGAGACCAGGGGGGAACTCAAGTGAGCATAGAAGGTCAAATATGGGCAGATAGGGTGGTGGACATTGGAGGAAGAGGCTGCCTGGGATAGGAAGAAATTATGAGAAAAATCATACAGGTTAGAATGAGAAATGCTTGTATGGAGGCAGGAGGAGTCATGCCTGGCTGGAACAAAGGGCAGCCACTGGGGCATCCTGGAAAACAAGGCCAATCACTGGGACATTGGGCTACCTTCCACTGGCTGTGGACTTCAGTTTTATCCTCTGAATAACAAGGGGTGGGGGAAAGCCTTCCCTGACCCATGGCAGCTACTATTCTGAAATAGCAGAGTTCTAATTTTGAGTAGGCTAAGGAAAGGGAAACAGGTCACATTTCATTTTCAGAGCAATTAGTGTAATGAAGAGAGGTGTGGACAGCCTCCTGACCTACCCACACTGACCCTGCATCTCCTATTCCACAGTAGAAGACTCAGAAAAGAGCTACCATCTTTCATGTCTTCCTGAAGCGCTGCAGCTTCAAAGTGGGTGGAAATTCATGGTCAAGAGCTTTTTAGGCTCCATGAAACAGCATTACTTTATTCTAGCCTTGGGTTATGTTTCAAGTTTATAAGGCCCTGTAGTGGAATGATTAAAAGAGGCTGCTCTGCTATTTATCAGCATGTTTCTTATTCTTCTTTGGCCTTCATCTCCTGTGTAAAATGGAGAGGATAATACTTGCCAATTTTTGATAATAATATACAGTGTTGCTGTATTAAATGAGATAATGCATGCATGGTGTTTGGCACAGAGTCTAGCTTGTTATAAATGTTCATTTCTGTAAGTATATGGGGTGGGAGTCCGGCTGCGAGAATGGGAGCAAAGGAGAGCTCAGAAGCAAGACGACAGAGCTCTGGGCCACTGGCAATTTTATCTCCTGCTTCCAGCCAGGAGAACACTCTCAGGGCTCTGGGTTTGTAGGTCTCTGTCCATCTTTCACTGTCCTATTTATCTTGAGTTAGGGCTAGCTATTTAGTTATCCCTCTCACATGAATGTGAGTTGCTTGAGGAACTAACTCTTTTACTTCTCTTTGAATCTCTGGATCAGCACCATTCCTGGCCCTTAGCTCTCCAAAAGTCTCTGCTGCATGGGTGAGGGAAGTTGAAATGAACATAGTGTTTGGAGTTATTTGAAACTTGAGAAAAATAATAGAAGCCTGAATTGTGTTGAATGGAAATAGTGGAGAGAATGCAGGGATTTAAAACTCACTTAAGGCATGGCTTGTGGTTAAGGTCAAAATGAACAGTTTTGAATTTAGGAATCAGGGTCTCAGCAAGAAGGAGCGAGCCTAGTCTGTAGTGGAGGATTACGCAAGGGACTGTTTACAAAAATATGAGAAAAGTGAAAGGACGGTGCATCAGTGAGTCTCTGGCAAGTGCTGGAAGCTATCACTACTATATCTCAGCCTGAAGGAACGAGGGCAGGAAGGGATTACAGAAGCCTAGTGTGAGTTGTGCTGTTGAGACAGGGGACTTCTAATAGAACAGGACTACTCACTGAAGGCTGGTAGGGAGGAGGCCAACAGAACAAACACCCCATCTTTCTTCTCCTGTCCTCTGATTATTTCCCATTGAGTCCACAGAAGTCACTTCCCAAAGCACAGAGCAGAGTGGCAAGCTATAGGCAGTGGAGTCTGGAGAGGCAAATGAAGGATATCCAACACAAGTACCTGCTGTCCATCTTTGTGCTGATGCTAAAGACACCATAAAGAACAGGGTCAAATGAGTCCTTGCCTGTGTTCACAGAGGTTGGAGTCCAGCTGGAGGAACAAGCAATGTAGTAGAGGACCATATGTGTCAGGATGTAAGGATGTATTTGAAGCTCTACCTGTGCTTTGAAGGGCTTGAGGCTCTGAGAAGGCGTTCAGGAAAACAGTAACATCAGCACTGGCACCTTCTTAGCCGCCTTCAAAAGTTAGTTAGAATAATGATAAGAAAAGCCATCGACTAGGAAAAAATATTTGCAAATCATACATCTGATAAATAATTTGTATCTAGAATATATAAAGAACTTTCAAACTCAACAATAAGAAAATAAACAATCCAAATAACGAAAGGGGAAATGATTTGAACAGACATTTCACTCTAGAAGATGTACAGATGACAAATAAACACACAAAATGATTTTCAAGGCAACTGGTCATCAGGGACATACAGATTTAAATTATAATGAAATACTACTCTACACCTTACCTGAATGGCTACAATTGAAAATATTGACCATACTAAGTACTGGTAAGGCTGTGGAGAAACTGGGACTCTTATATGCTGCTGTTCGGAATATAAAATGGAGCAATCATTTTGGAAAACAGTTTGGCACTTTGTTAAAAGAACAAAAATCATATAACTACTTTTTCATATACCTGTCTCTAGTCATGAGGGAAAAGCAAATAAAAACCACACTGAAGGTCTGTGGTTTGATCTGAGTCTGATCTCCAGCACTACAAAAGAAAAACCAAACCACAAGAGAAATGAAAAGTTGTGCTCCATTTGTGTGTAAAAAAATAAAATAAAAATAAACCACAATGAGATATCATTTTATACCTGTTGGGATGCTGAGAGAGAGAGAGAGAGAGAGAGAGAGAGAGAGAGAGAGAGACAGACAGAAGGTTAATAAGTGTTGGCAAGGGTGTGGAGAAAAGGGAACTCTTGTATGCTATTTGTAGGAATGTAAATTGATATAGCCTTCCTGAAAACCATTATGGAGGAAACTTCTTATGGAGAATCTTCAGTTATTTAAAAATAGAACTAGCATATGACTTAGCAGTCCTTCTGAATATTTGCCCCAAGGATGAAATCTGTACCTCACAGAGATATCTGTGCTCCCATGTTCCTTGTACATTATTCATAATAGCCAAGATACAGGAACAACCTAAGTGTCCATTCATTGGATAAACAGATAAAGAAATGGTGGTGTATATACACACATGCACACGTGTACACACACATACACACTTATACACACATGCACACACAATGAACTATTTATTCTGCCTCAAAGGAGATGTGGCCATTTGCAACAGCATGGATAAACCTAGAAGACATTATGCTAAATAAATAAGCCAGACACAAAAAGAAAAATCTATATGATTTTACTTATATGTGGAATCTTAAAAAAAAAGTTAAACAAATAGAAACAGAGTAGAATGGTGATTACTAGGAAAAGGGGGTGGAAATAGGGAGAAATAGGTCAAAGGATATAAATTGAATTGGGTAGGATGAAATCTAGACATCTAGGGCTGGGGATGTGGCTCAGGCGGTAGCGCGCTTGCCTGGCATACGTGCGGCCCGGGTTCGATCCTCAGCACCATGTACAAACAAAGATGTTGTGTCTGCCGAAAACTTAAAAAAAATATTAAAAATTCTCTCTCTCTCTCTCACTCTCTTTAAAAAAAAAGAAATCTAGACATCTAATGTACAGCATAAGGATGATAGTTAATATTGTGTTATCTATTGAAAATTTGCTAAGAAAGTAGGTTTAGGTCCTTACCGTACACACACTATGGAAGATGACAATATGTTAATTTGTGGCAATCATTTCACTGTGTGTATCTATGTAAAAACATCATGTCATACACCTAAAATACATGCAATAAAAAT